AATGAGATACTGATTTTAAGATTCTGCTCACAGTCAAATTAAGGTCTGAGTGAAGAATGCTTCCTCAGAAAGGTAATTCCTGTATCAGAACATAAGCGCTGAATAAAATACGGCCAAAACAGGATGGCTAACACACGTACATACACAGTCCTTCAGACAACACCACTTGGTCTGTAACAGTTCAGGAAGCAGACAGTGAAAAACATCAGTCAACCCCAGCTAGGTAGCTCAGTAATATTTCAGTGCTATCTCCCGAGTGACCCGTCTCACTGCATTCTGTCCCTTGCTTTTCCAGAGAAGCGTTCCACAAAGCACCTACCTAGCACAGCTGGATAGGATAAAATAGGATACTGACAAGATAAAGATAACAATAAACTTGAATTTTAAAAGCAAAACTTTTGTTTGACAGTTAACTTTTATTGCTCATTGCCCCTCTGCTCCTATTTAAAACAAACAAACAAACAGCTTCAGTTATTTATTACAGCTAAAAAAATTAACTAGTGGGTTATTTCAGCTCTTGCTACAGGGAATCCTTTAGGGTTAGCAACTTTTACCTACTGGTCTCTTATCACAGAGATGGATACTGTATTTTGAAGGCTTCCTATTTCAAGGACTAAGCTAAAATACGGGCTTACAACGGCCCTTGCCCACTAGTGTCTGGGTTTACTCAGACTGCTGGGAAAGAAACAAGATCCTACAACATTTTTCATCTTCAAAAGTATCTTTGTTGGTTTTGGAGATACCAGAAAGAAATGCTAATGAACAACAGTTTTACAACTCGCTCTCCTTTCCAACACAACCACTGTGCTTTGAAAGAAACCCTAAGAGGTTTTTCTAGTAAACTGTCACCCCATGCATAACAATGAGTAGTGAGCTCATCTTCCCCTAAGTGGGTCATGGGATGCCTAACCATGGGATGTTTTCAAAGCAATATTAAACTTTTAAAGACATCAGATTTTCTCCTGTTGTGAGAAGTTGCAGCCTGATAGCAGCTGGGAACTTTGAACTGCAATACCCACAGCTGGAACTTTGGCAGAAGGAGATGCAGCGATGAATTCACATCTGCAGCAATGTATAGCTGCAAACAGAAGAGGCCATAGTGCTAGTTGGAGACAATCACAGCACTGTGAGGCACTGTTTTTATTTACAGCCTCCTCTAAGATAGGATTAAGAACATATGCAGAAGCAGTACTTAACCCCGCGGCTCTTGCTGCATTTGGCCCACATCAGACGAAACCAACAATGACTAAAGCACATACACACCCTTACAGCCCATTTACGTTCTCTTTCATGTCAGCCATGTACTGGGTACAGGGAAAGAAGGTTCAAGTCCAATAGTTTCTTTCAATTTAAATATTTTTTACTTTATTATGACTTCCTCCAACAAAGAATTGTTGACTGTCCCATATTCCTTCCTACAAACGCAGTACACCAATAACAAAGTACCTCCCAGATCTTTCTTTTGGTAATAGTTCAGTAGAATCTGCTGAACTACCACCCAGACCACCTCCGCTCCCTGTCCAGAAAAACAAACCTGGAAATACAGTCCAGGGACTGGTCTTCAGCAAATTCAGGACCTCAGCTTAAACAGAGCATGATGGAGATTGGGTAGAGCTAGGACAAGACTTTCACACCAACAGAAATCAGTCCTGCCTGTGAGCTTTAGGGAGTTAACAGGGAAGCCACATTACCCCAGTTTCCCTTTACAGTTGAGCAAAGGCAGCACTGCCAAGGATGACCCAAATCTCAGGTGAGCTGAATTACCTTCTAGAAGTATTTATCTTTCCCTACAGACTATAAAACCTGATAAGGGCAAGCAGACACCTTATTTAGGCACCTTTATTAGGAATCTAAAGTTAGGCGATATTAATCTGGGCCACCTCCTTTTGTCAGTCACTGCACATAGAGGGCAAATGCACTGAAATAGATTCTCCATATGTCACTCATCGCCAAGAATCTGCAATAACTTTATCACAATAATTACCTCACGTTTCCTTGTGACACTCACTAATTCTCTACACCTTTGTTCTGTGACACCATTTCCTTTCCTGCCTTCACTATCAGGTAATTCTTCAGAGCTGAAAGCTGCCACCATGCCAAGAGTATAAGCAGCTTCTCTGAATAAGCTGCTTGTTGTTAACATACAAAAGTTATTTCACTTTCTACTTGGGGTTTTTCCTCTGGTAATGGGTTTTCTCCATCTGTGCTTATTTTGCAACTAGTGAATAAAGGATGTTTTTACAGTTCTGACCGGGCTTACAAGGTAAACTGATCCATACACAACTCGTGTTGTTGAGCTCTATTGCTATTTCTTAACATGTACATAGCGTAATCCCAATATTGTACTTTAAAGACATAACTTTATAAACAAAAAGTATTATAAAGTAGTGCCATGTCTTAAAATGTCTTGATATTTAGAAGGTGGCTAAAGCCACACACCTGAAAGTCAAGCCCCCTTTATGCTATCTTAACAGAAAAAAATCCGAGGTTGCTTACCTTGGATATTTCAATCAAAAATGACTAAAACGTTATTTTTACCATCTAACCTAGAAATATGCTTTACCCTGGCCTGTTCTAGTCTTTCCATGGATCACAAGGTGATTTTTTGGGAGACTGGCTGGCTTAATTAGCCACTATATTAGGCCTTACCTTGGCATAACATGAATATACTTTCTTCATCTGTTAGTGCCTAAAGTACTACTTGCACACCCTTTTGGCTCTTAAATAGAAAGTGTATCTGTAGTCAGGCTTATAGAGGTATAAAAATATAAATTTCTATTTACTTGAGTAAACATGGAATTAGAAATCTAAGTTTAGATCAGTGTTTAGTTTCTTGGCAATGGGACAAAGCTCTCGGCCTTACATTGCAAGAGATGGATGAAAATCTTTTAGTTTGGTTCAAAAATGAGTTTTGGGAGCAAGAAAAATATTTGCAAGTTCCCATTAGAATTCAGATGAGCGTTTCAAACAAAAACAGATCTTTTTTTTCCCCCGATGTCAAATCATTCATCCCCTGTATGAAACATTTCCTTTGAAGTGCCAGTGCGTTTTTTAAACTTATTTCAAAATTAAATATTGCCTTTTAAATTTGAAATAACTTTTTCATTTTAAAAAGGGAAGTTAAAAAGTGAAGAGTTATGTGGGCCTCACAATTAAAGAAGAATAATTTCCAAGTGATCTGTGCACAGCTGATTCAAAGTTATCCTATCCTTTTTTCAACTTTGACTGATATTGATCAAAATGGCAATTCTAATTTCAGTCACAGAATAAAAATTATGTTTACTTGCCTCTGTATCATATACAACACAGGGTACATTTAGGAGTATTAAAGTTCTAATAAGAAATAGTCTTACTATTTGGAACTAGTCTAAAAATTCAGAAATAGTCTAACTTCAAATGCAGAGGAGATGAGAATGTTTTTAGGTCACTAAATAAAACCAGGTGAAATTACTAAAAACAGTGTTAAGATTTGGTAAGACAAACAGGTAATGAGTATTTCCTTTACATAAAATACGCAAATGGTACTGTTTTTAAACTGTGCCTGTTTTTAAATAACTCACGTGAATTGCTATTCTCCTCCCTGAAGAGATCACCACCCCGCACTACCAATCCACCACTTCATATTTACAGTTTAAAGACGTATCAAACTATCTTGCAAAGGAAAAAAGGTTTAGGTATTCTTTGTTCATAATTAACCTATTAGCAGCTGACAATTGTTACCTTACATACATCACCGGCAAATGATATGTGAGCAGCCAGGGTTTTCTCCAACTCCCCTAAAAATTCTCTGCTTTTTGAAGAGAATGAACATGACTGTCACTCACGTAACCTTCAGCTATCATTGCAATATTTCCTATTTCTGTATTATGCTGAAAAAATATAAACTGGATTTGAAAATGTTTGTACAAACTTCTGCTCTGATTGCTGAAATAAACAGATGCAAAATTTTAATCCAGGAAAGAATTTCAGAAGTTTTAGGGGTATTTTTTGCCTTAAGTTTTTGCTCAGGACAATGGCTGTTACTGGCTTTTTGCTTAAACACTGGTATGTGGAATTAGCAGAACTCATGCCGCAGGCACCAGCGTAACAAGCAGCCTTACCTAGGTTTATCATCATGGTGAATTAGAAACTCCCAAGAGAAATCACACTACATTAACATCACACTGTGTATAGTCAGAGTTTTATGAATCAGCAAGAAACTTAATCAAATTATACTTCTGTTTTCAACATTTTCTTGATATTGCCAGTTATCTCCACATACCCATATCTTCTGTGTCCTACCCTGTTTCATTTCATTTTTCTTATTGATGAAGTCTGGCTGTATTTGTAAAGAGCCTTGCGTGGGCCAAAATGTATATATTCCATTATATCAGAGAGCACAGATGACATATATAGGTCTAGAATAAAAAGGAAGACCGTACATTGTTACCTAAAAAATTCAAATTATGGCAAGTAAGGTTTGCAACTTTAGAAAAAAATCTCTGTATAAATGTGTGTAGGAATAGTTTCAGAACTATAGATACACCCATAAACATTAATGATAGTTCTAAAAATAAAGATTGCAGCTGGGACTGAGCTGAAAGATGGGAGAAAGCTCTTACTATTTTAGAAAATGGAAGATGCTTGAAGTAATTTATCCAAATATATAAGCTAATGCTTAACTTACTGGAGCAGTCACATCCACCCAGGGGGTGTGTGTGGAAATCTTTTAGTTAAAAAAATCTTTTCTTGGACAAAGTGTTTAGTAACCAGTATGTTTCAAGGTTTCATGGTTGTGCCAGGGTTAAGGGATGTCTACTTAAGCTCTTTATCCTACAGCTATGTACAAGAGTTTATCAGAATTCAACGTTAATCCAAGTAATGTTGCAAACTTAAGTGCACAGGGGCAGGGAGATGGAACACGACAGAGATCTCATGTTTAACAAGGCTTACATTTCAAAGTAGCCAGAACGTGTGACTACCAAGTAAAATCCTAACTAATTTTCTAAAATTTTATTCAGCAAGCTCAGTTCTAGAAGGAGAAGAAAGTACAACAATTGATTTCAGAGACAGGAATGACACAGAATTTGAAGAATTACCAACCCTGGTGAGTATCATTCCTTTGGGTTACCCTGATTACATATTCTGATATCATCCTGCGGCTTAGATTTTGAATAATCATTATAAATTAAGGTATAACCTTGAGTCCTAACATAAAAATGATCTAATGTCAATGCTTTTGCTTTGCAAGCAATCAGGTTGAAGTGCGACAGAGTTGAAAATGTTGTTGGCAGTTTTTGTGCTGCAAAAATCATTCATAACCTGCTTATTCATTTGCCTCTACTAATTTAGTGCCTCTCCATTAACTTCAGTGAAACCAAACTGACAAACTAGTGTAAAAAAACCCCACACAACAAATAAAGGCAGGTCTGCAATATTCTGCAGTCTTCTATACCTTTTGTACTCCTCCTGGGAACTTAGTCATCTGATCTAGAAAGCCTCCAGCTGGGAAGACAAATCAGCTTACTTTGGTTTGGGTTTTTTTTTTTGGTCACTGTACACAAGTCAAAGATGACAGGTCATAGCTAAAAAAGCATCCATAGGGCACCTGACAGACCAAGAAACTGAAATGCTTATTTCATACACACAGACTGAATGTACTGAGGTTTTCTTTTCCCTCTTTTTTTTTTTCCCCCCCAAATTCTTGTAGTTGCCCACAAGACTACACAATGTAACAAATCTCTTGCAGTTTGGACAACTGATGACCACAGAAAGTGCATTTGCCCCAGCTGAAGACAGTGATAATTCTACTGGTTATGAAGTTAACACAGAAAATGTTGATGGTAAGAAAAAAATCTCTCTTCTGTTTTATTCTGTCAAAGTTCTACTGCCATCTACTAAACTGTGCCTAGAAGATTCAAATACAAAGTTTAAGTTGCTCTCAAAGGTAGCACTGCTAGTTTTTGAAAGTGAAGAGTAAGATTTCTAAAATTACTCCTTAACAGCCACTCCACATCCTAACTTTGTAACAGATGCGCACTGACAAAAGGAATGAGTAGCTATACTATTTTGTTTACCACTGCACTGCCAGTTCTCCCCCCAAGGCAGGCAATAACACTGAAGCCTTCACTTTTCAGATGATTAGTATGAAAATCAAACAGCTCTCCAGAAATTTTTTTTTTTTTTTAACAACTCAAAGACCCTAAAATGCAGAAAACATTTATAACTGTTACAACCCAGCTGTCCTCTCGGGTTTTGCCTTAACTTCCCTGGAGAGACACAAGTTTCATGTACATGTCATGCATATATAGAGCAAGTTGCACCCATGTCCATACAGTAGTCAGTGAGCATCAAATGGGTGCAAAAGGTTGATAAAGTGCACTGTGACCTGTGCCTGCTTAGCAGTCTGCCAAACAGCTTGTACCTGTGCTTTTGTGTCTGACTGTGTACAGAAGAACGTCTGGGCACAAATAAACGGGCACATGCTCTATATGGCTTTTGGACCAGGGTTGTTCTTAGTGGTTCACTCTTGTGCTTACCACAAGTAAAAAGTAAAAGAACACAAGCATCTTATTTTCTGCTCTGATATTCCAGTCCTGTAACAGTACCAATGACTGGTCATACATTTAATGAATCTCACTTTGAAATGGTCAGATGAGCACTTCTGAAAAAAAAAAAAAAAAAAGGTCTTTTTGTTTCCAGACCAACTTTTTGGTAACTAAATGCAAATTTAGCTTGGTGTCTAAATAAATGAATAATGGTTTCTCTGGTTGATGGGAACAGTAGTAGCTGTTGCCAACAGATGCTCAGAGTGCACTTAAGTACATTCTCAAAAATCAGATCACAAACACTGGAAGTCTGTGAGGCTCACAAGTACGTCAGATTCACCTACCAGAAGACATTAGTGATAAACTTAGTCCACCTTAATGGCAGTCTTTCAATCACATTTCAAGTCAGTTTGGTTTTAGTTTATAGGCTTTACGTTGAAACAGTCAAATCACATCTGGTGGCAGTGTATTTCTACAAAGTTTTCCTTGGATGTACCATTATAAATTGGGATGCAAAACTCTGTACAAACCACAGTGAGCAATTAAGTAATCATTCTCTTTCTGGCTTTACAGGTAGATCAAGTGGGGAACCAGAGAAAACTGAAAAAGGTAAACAGAGGAATTTTTTATAAAGGGAGAATTTAACTGCCAGGTGATCCCCTTCTAGAAGCCACTAGCTGTGCCCATGCTATTCTGAAATAAAAGTTACAGGAGGAGCCAGGACCTGCTCCCTGAGCTGCCTCCTCTGGTTCTCAGGATCCCTGTCTCTGTAGCCGCATTTACATGGAGCCCTCCCGCCCAAATGTACATTTGCAGGTCTGCAGGCTACGAATGAGCCTGCTGAATTCACCAACCTACTTCAGAGTTCACAAGATAAGGAAATTTTCCCCAAGGAGTGGGATGCAGCAGAACAGGATCAGTTCTGTCAGTAGCCTCTTACCAATGGTCTCTCTGAGAAACATGCTAACATTCCCAATTTCCTCTTTCAGGTGGTCTGGAAACAATTGCTCTGGTTGGAATAATTATTGGAATCATAGTTGCAGTTGGAATCCTTGCAGGAGTAATCATTGCTGTTGTAAGGAAGATGTCAGGCAGGTACTCGTAAGTAAATTGCTAATCAGGCTTTTCAAACAAGCATCCTCTGAACAAGGTCACAGGAATAGCTCTGGAAACTTGTAGTGCTTCTATTTTGACAAAATAACCTATTTTCATATCATACAGTGTCTATTGATTCAGCAAGAGCTGTCAGTGTGATGTGGGTGATGTAAACTGTTTCATGTGCTTCAGAAAAATTTGCCACATACTGCACGTAAACTTACATTCACCAGGTGCATGGGTTTTGGATTATTCTACTGCACAGAGGTAAAATTCACTATGAAGTATTAACAGGACCAACTTCTGGAAGTGCTGGATAACATGAACACAAACGATCTTTATCTTATTAATCTGGACATTTGTGGAATCCGATTTGATGCCAACAAGATTAATTGTAAAGCAATTTAGATTTGCATGGCTACAGACTCAAAAGTAGTAAGAAAACCACACTACATTTAACAAATATTATTCATGCAGCATTAGGAGAAAGCAAAATACGAACTGGGGAGAGAAAAAACAGTGACAGAAAAAACGAGGAAAGTGAGGAAAAACAGTAACTAAAGCATTTGTGTAACTATGAAGAACAATAAAATACGTGTTTTTTTCTACAGGCCCTGAAAATAGTTGAAACAAGCAACCATGCCATTCTACACCAGAAGATATAAGTGCTTCTTATTTTATAAGAACTAAAGACTATTCCTATATTGGTGTGAGAAGATGATCCATGGAAAATATGGTCAAAGAATTCCAGATCTATGGGGATCCCACACAACTCTAAGGACTCTTCCTCTTCCCCCCTACCCCCCCTCCCCAGAATACAGTGTATGGAACATTTAATAGGATTTTTACTAACCAGGAGTTTACTGGAAGAAAGAAGATTATGCAGTAAGAAAAAAACCCAGCAGCAATGAGATTTACATCTGAAATGTGATTTGCAGGTAATATATGCTAGCTTGATTTTTAAATGCTACCAAAGATTATTTCACATTACATTTTATACATTTCTTTAAGAAAAAACATATCCAGAATCTTTTAAGTGTTTTTGGCTGGTTTAGTGCTTGTGGCATGTTTATCTGCCAAACAGCGTATCAAAAAAAGGAGGAATTAGCTTCAGAGAGAGCCAAATATTTACAAATCTAAGAAAATATGAGATATCAGAAGCTAAAATCCTTCCACAGTTGATACAGATTTTCTGCTCTTGATACTTATGTTATTATGTGGCAAAACATGGTAGGCCCAGCTGGAACTGACCTACCAACTGAAAGCTTGCTCATCTGACTGTTGCACCAGGAATTTCCTGTCTTCTCTTGCTGCAGAGACATGCAGGGATTAAAATACACATCCTGAATTAAAGGGTGCTTGGAAAATACCCAATTTTGATGGGTCACTTTAACCAGTTACTCAGCACGCTTTAAAGCCAACATGTAGAAGCTTTTGAATTAGTTTGGGTTTGTTTTTTTTTTTTTCTGTATAACTGTCTCATTTTCTAACTGTATAGTTGGCTTGTTTGATAAATGTGTGCAACACTAGATCAGAATACGTTAATGAGGTACAATGCATCTTTGGAGTCTACACCTTTTCTGTAGCATACTTAGTACAGCAGTACCTGAACACACAGGGTTCAGAGCAAAAGGCTTTGTATGTCAGGTGGCTGCAATGCATCATGTTTTCTAAACTTTAGAGGCACTTGAGTGTTTGGTGTAAAAAACATGATAATCCATATGGTCAATAATTGCTAAATATGTGAATTTATCTAGATTTGCTTTTCTGTTTCTTTCATGTGACAAACTATCATACCAATCTGAGCTTTGGAAATAAAAAATATAATGTAAATTGTCTTATTTTACAATAACTGTTCTTTATTTTCTTTTAAAAAACCTTATAAAATGTTTTAAACTTGCCTCAATTTTCCTAACTTATTTTGCTACTTGTCTTGTCAGTGAAGTGTCTACAACCAACTCATTTGACACCGATAAATGAAGCTATCATCAAAATCTGAACATGTCAGAAAAAATAATTTAGAAGTCTTTTTGGTGCAGTTCTCAAGCTCACGTAACAGGGCACTCGGTCTGTGATGACTGATGACTAGCAAACTTTATCTTCAGGCTGGTCTGTGCTGAGAACTGCAGACTAGATCCAAAGGCTGCAATTTCTAGATACAGGCATGCTTTTTTAGTGTCATCTATAAAAAGAAACTAGTTTCCTGAAGTCTGAATTTAGACTTTTTGTCAAGCTCAGAATTAAAGCATATTTGGATACAAGCTGTGGCTTGCTGTCAATAAATACAGTTGTCACTGAATTGCTGAGTTAACACTCCTAGGAATACTTCACCTGCAGCAGTCATTCTCTCTTCCTCACCAGAGGAAGATTCTAAACTACAGTTTTCCCATGGGAATAACTTTCCCCTTGTATAACTATTCCCATCACATTACAAGCACTATCCACAAGTAGGCAATTTATAATAAAACTGAAATATACCTTAGATCTTGTCCCTTGTTTTGAGAGTCTCACCTGATAAAACACAGTCAAGGTTGTTACATGTAGAGAGTGAAGTTACGAGTACGTATGCACCCACAAGGATGCAACTAACGTTAAGGAATTTGCCATGTGTTTGCATTTAAGTACTAATCCCATGCAGTACAACCTCAGAGCATATGCATCCCAGAATTGGTCTACAGTAGTACAGTACCATTGGAATAATACATTCATATCTCACCTCCAGCATAATGCATTTGGTTTATTTCTGCTTACACTCAAAACCTGCATAAAACTAAAGGGAAAAATTAATTATACCACTCTATGAAGTCATGTATGTACTATATAAAAAATCTGTAACAAGTTTAAACCTAGTGTGTATCTTAAGTCAGTTCTTTACTAATGCTAAGTTGGTTTAGGATATTTTTAAAGCATAAAATCCAAGGGACAGAAGTGGGCTTGAAGTAGGCGACAAAGTTTTCACTACCTTTATCACTACCATGGAACCTCAATTTAACTTATTTTTTAAAGGTATCTTTATTTAACTTAAGTGTCAGTCATTTTTTTTTACCTATGACACATTGCATTCTGCAGCATTATTCATGTAACGACATCATGCAGTTCATCCAATCAATTCTGAGATTTCTGGTATATCAAATCAGTTCTCTTTCAAGAAAGCAAGTCTGCAGTCTCTTAAAAATGAGCACATGAGGTCCCATCCCTGAAATACAATTCACACACACACACCTTAATACACTTTTCAATTCCCATGACTTAGTTCAGTTGAAGACATATTTATCTTGGCTAGAAAGAGTTTTAACTTTTCACATTAGCACCCTTTGCCCCAGTACTTTTAGGTTACAGTACTTAAAGGGGGCCAAATTGCTTCAGGTGTTTTGTTTCTGAGTGCCCATACATCCCACCGGTTTTTGAAAGAGTTACCAAGTTTCATGCATAATTGTTCATTTTGCTTGTGTGACTTGTATGAATTAGCTAAAAATGCATGTAAACTCATATGAAAGCAGGAAGATGACAGCTTTTTCTTATTGTGGCAACATAAAATAGTAATTTCTGTTACTCTAGATTTAAAAATTTCTTGCCTGTACTGAAAACTACCCCAGAAGATGCACTTCATGTCTGACCAAATGAATGCCACATGGAATTATGAATTATTCAACCATTGCAGAGAATAGCACAGATGTCACCAGTTTGTTCTGCATCAGCTCAGTTGCTGCTAACTTGCAAATACCACAAAATGAGAAAACTAGCTTTATGGCTGTTCTGAGTATTGGTTAAGCCACAAGACCCCATTTGAAAAATGCATAACATGATGGCAGACAACCTTTTGGAGAAGTTTCATGTTCTCCTGGATCATGTGCAGAACATCAGTTGAACAGCCTGTATTCTGCTCAACTGTTCTTTGCTCTTACTCCAGAATCTCTCACTAAGGGCCATTTTAACATCACATACCAACTATCTAAGTTTTCTGGTCTTAACTGTGCCTTTATGTTCTGCCCTCTAGTTTAAAGAAAGATTTAGTAATCTTAGGCAAAAGTAACCCTTAACCAAATGGCCCATGCTTCACTGAAACATAATTGGAGGGCACTGGAGACTCATTATTAACTAGAGCTGTATTTGAGAATAAATCTGGACCAGCAAAAATGTGCAGACATAATTGCCTTCTTAGTGTCAGCTGGAGTACAGGATACTCAGTATATGGCTGAAGAAAGCAAGGGCTCTGAAGAATCAGAACACCTCCATTCCTCCATCAACATGAAGAAACAGCAACTGCTGCTACACCAATACTTTTAATATTCTGAGGATTCGCACTGCCTTGCTGTCTAGAAGTCTCAAGTGTAGAACACTCCATTCAGCTTCAAGCAAACCTCAAGAAACAACAGCTTATGAAAATCTTTTGTCATATATGTTATGTATTTATATGCTGCTGAAGAATTCTTAAATCCCTTTTGTAACTTCACCTACAAACAGTCTAGAAATGTAGAGGTCTATCTTCCATCTGCAAACCACTGCAGCATTCTGTGACTGAGCTTTCATTAGCTTGTATTATTTAGCTTCCCATGGTTCACGCTGAACACAAGCTATGTGTTTCTTGTTAGAATTTATGTGGAAGATGGGATCTTTTCTGCTTTGCAAGAAGTCAAACAGCACATTGTCCTAGGGCAAATAATTGTGTAAACTGAAATGAGTGATCAGTATACATGCTTGCAGAATCAAGGCCCAAGGTCAGGAGACTTCCTATGCATGAGAACACAGCAGGAAACAACAGCTCCATACTTTTCACCAGCTGGCCAGGTTTGAGTTTTATTCACAGGGAACAACATTCAATATATCAACACTTGCTTTTAAGTCAAAGTCCTTACTCCTGATCACATTCATTCCTTTATAGTTAGTAACAGTAATATTCCCTTTTGCAGTTTGGCTTTGAGTCATGAATGTGGCTCTCCCTAACAGACAAGCAGGCACCAGGCTTCCTGTGAGAATGCCAGATGTCACTAAAAAATACCATAAACATCGTTGTCCCCTTGTATTTGTATCTGTTGGGAAGATATACAGCAGTAGTATACTACGCAAGCAATGACTTGATGCATTAATGTTTATAATACTTCTAGGCATCAGTACAGCAATTCTAACGAGACTTCATCTAAGGCATGTTTTTACTGAACAGAAAACGACAGAAGAATTAATTCAATAAAACTAGCAATAAGTAAGTAAGAACCAGAATAGTCACGGAGATCTCAAGTTACTCCTATAAATTTAAAAAGTGTTCATTTGTAATCAAATACCAATCAAAACATGCAGCAATTGCTTTTAAATGTAATTACTATTTTAAGAGCACTTGCAATATGCTATTGCAAGTATCTTAATCACATTTCATTAAAGGTAAGTGCAACATGCACAGTAATGCTTTCTGTAAAGTTCTCACACTCAAAAGCACTGATGTATCACTCACATGAGGATGGCCAGTACTACCTCAGGAGAATATGACACACAGATTAAGTGATTTGCCACGGGTTATACCACAGGTAAGAGAAAAGCCCCCAGCACAGGAATCTTTAAACACTAGTCCTCTTACAGCTTCATATTAGTTCAGATGAAGTGATGTTCCATTATGTTTTATAGTAACATGATCCTTATTATTCTTTAATATAAAGATGGCAACAAAGGACATGGGGAAAAAAGCAACTTACTGAATCTACCAAGAGCCCTCAGGTCAGAAATATACTCTGATTGGTTTTGATGAAAAACTATTCCATCTAAAAATAATTTACAATCTCAAGTTTTGCGAAGTAGATGGTACTGAACCACTGCAATTTAAAGCTTAAGTTCTAACTGGCCTACACCATGCCTGAAGACATTGTTATGGCTATTTATATCCATCTACTTAACTAGACGAAGTAATCAGATTAACCATATCCATCCTTTTCCAGACAGCTTTTTTAACCCGAAGTATTAATCATACTGAAGTTCTCAGCATCTACTTTTGTTAGAAAACTACTAGTGGATACAGAAGGTAATAGTGGAAATGTAACTTGACACGAGGTGCCATAATGAGAAGTTTGAATTAGTGCTTTGTGCATTCTTCACAGCTGCAGTGTGGAGGCATTTACGTATAAATAAACCCAGCATCACACTAGCCATGTGTCTTTGTCCAGGCCTTGTGGATTTAGGCATCGGACCAAACCCACAGCTCCCCCTGCTCTGCAACAAACAGTTGGACTGCAACACAAAGATCCCCATTCAATCACAGAGCTTGTCGGGCTCTTCCAGGCTGGAGAAGTCAGATTTTCAAACTCCGGTAAATGCTAAATTGGCAAGTGTCTTAGCAGGCAAGTAGTGCTGCACATTCCATGCATTTTCAAGGTTGTATCCTTTTTCCAGAAAGCAGTTGGCAAAGATGATTGATTTTGAGAGTTCAAAACCAAAACCAAACAGTGCCATCCACAAAAAAGTAGAAAATGGAAGGAATAAAGAAAGAGAACTGCAAATACTGTCTTCACGAAAGTTTAGTTTTTCATTCATATTTCCAGACTGACCTGAATTGAAACAATGGACTTACCTGCGTGGGCTATTTCAGATGTTAAACCACATACATCAGTATTCAAACAAACTTGCATCAGAGGAGTAAAGATGGCTAAAAATGTTTTGTACTGACAGATTAGAAGTTTGTCTCAAACCCCCCCCATTTGTCCAGGGTCAGCTATACAGGGGCTCTTGTCATCAATCTGATCTTTCTAGTCTATAGTTCAGGTTATCATAGAGTCACAGTTCTAGAGTGTTCTCTGGGATATCACAGCACAAATACAAGGATAAGGAACCACTCAATTTATACCAAGCTGCTCTTGCAATATTACAGTGTTCTACTGCATAGATATACAACATCCTTATTTTTATGTGCAGTCAGAACCCCTCAAATCACCAAACATTAAGCCCTGAAGTTCACCTAAATTCACTTGGATATGGCCAAGCTATTCTCTTCTTTCCACACCTGCCCTTAAAACCTTCTGAGTAGGTTCTTCAAAGGATGAAGGCACTCCCTTACATTAAACCATCACAATTTTTATCCAAGTTGAAATAAAGGAGTTTTACTGATAAAGGAATACTGATGGGGACAGAAGGGCAGAAAAGAATTGCTCTTCAAAGCACTCGAAGTCAGATCCTCCCCCTACAGTAAGTCCGTTGAATCAGTAAGGGTACACATAGAGATTCTTACAAAAAGTATAATTTGATTTTAAGCTTATTTTTTCCCTTAGCAATCTAGAAATTCAAAAGACACACCTCAGATCAAGCGCATTAATTTGGTTTAATGAGAATATCTTTCATAAAAAAAGGCTTTGAAAGATTTCTGGAGTCCACCACACCTTCCAGCAAACTATATCAATATTTAACTCTACAGAATAAAGTTCAGCTTTTCCAGGTGTGAGTTACTGAGCCATGTGCTGGTTCTGCCAGACTAGAGTTCTATCTGTTCACAAACGTCCCTCAATATGGTAAGTACAGCCCATTAGAAAGTCAGATGTCTTTGACAATTTCTGCTGAGTACGTTCTGGATTTTGACATAAAGCACAGAGCAGTGAAATGTATTCCAGCTGTAATATGCCTCATCATACACATCAGTGACATAGCTTCTCTTAGTGCTAATAGCTACATAAATCCCAGGACGCACTTCTCCACAAATGAAAACCTGCTTTTTAGTCAGAGATTGAGTTAACAGCAAACACTTTTGCACCTCTCTCCTCCCCATTGTTAAATCTACCTTAAAACTGACTGGGAAAGAACTTTTTTTCATGGCTTTTCTTTCTGAAAGCATCCTTAATTGTAATGCTGTTCTATCAAGTAAACATCAATCTTTTGTGCTCTGCATCTAATTTACAACTGGACTGCTTTTCTTCTGGAATGGTACTGCAACACTGGTATAAACCAGGTTTAGTTTTCCTAACAGGAGGTAATCCAGGAAGATGCTGCA